CACCCCAGCCCCTCCCACCCTCCTCCCGCCCTCACCTCGCCCGGGCTGCTCTCTCTCCAGCCGGATGTGCTCCCGGATGAGCCTCTGCTGCTCCTCCAGCTGGCGGGAGCCTTCCTCACGCAGGCGGATTATCTAGAGCCGAGGGGAGGGAGCAGGAGAGCTGAGGGCACCGCTGAGGGCACCGCTGAGGGCACCGCTGAGGGCACGGCTCCAGGCCAGCTACAGACTGACAGGGAGAGCTTCTGTCTGACACCCCTCTTCTGGGGCAACCCTCCTGCTAATTCCCCTGGGACAGCTCCAGTGCTGGTAAAATTGGACCCCTCACGTTCCCAGTGACACAGGCCCTACCAGCCAGCATACACCCAATTCACTGCTCTTAGTGTCTGCAAAGGGCAGGCAACACACCTGCCAGACTGCTACAGGATTCCTTCTGCACGCCTCATTCACACACCCCTTAACCTCAAGGGTGGAGGACTGCTGCTATACATAGATTTGCTGCATCTCATCACATAGTTTTCATCATGGTTGTAAAAACTTTCAGCAATTCTTCTCAGGAGAAGCAAAGAAAACAAAGAATTTATGATTACTTCTTGTTCTAATGATCTCGTTGTCCTGATCTCCTCCTCTTCACTCTCATGGGTCTGGGCTTCTCGCTCTCTGGCTTCAAGATCTGCAGAGAAAGAAAACAAAATTAAAACAATCCAAAGAATTTTCACTGCTGACCAGAGGTGGATGGCAAGATCACAAACATGGCTACAAGCACACCAGCACCAAAGCTCTGCTCCCTCTCCTCTGCCCGGGCACATCAGTGGATCACCAAAGCCCCCAGCTGCTTCCCAGTGCAGGAGGCTTCAGAAGGCTGTGACACTGCCCTGGGCACAAAGGACCCACACCCTGAGCAGGTTCATCAGTGCTGACTGCAGAAATGCAAGCACTTGGCTAATGAAGATTTTGAGCCAAGAGACAATGAAGTTGATTTATTACCAAGCTTTACTTTCTTTCGCCTCTCATCAAGTTTCTGGGTCCTTTCTGCAGCTTGTTTCTTTGCCTTCCTCACTCTGTCATACGCTGCCTGCCAAAGAACCAACACAAGGGTGTGAAATGAGAGCAAATGGAAGGAGTGAAGAAAAGCAAGACCAGCTACTGCAACACGGTAAGCAGAGGAGAAGCATCTTCTGCTTCTTGCCACCATCCCTCCTGAAAGTCTTGGAAGTTAACACAAACATCCTGAAAAGATGAGAGGAGGCCCAAGGATCTCCAGATGGAGCCTGAAAGCGTGAAGACAGTGTGTGTGTGTGTGTGTGTGTGTGTGTGTTCTCCCAGAAAAGGGCAGGATGGACAGAAGTTCTGCTCCTTCTGCAGCGTGTCTGCAGAGGGTAACACCCCCCAGTCCCACCACCACCAAGGACCCCATCCTTACCCTCGCTGCTGCATCTGTCAGCACAGCTAAGGCCTGGGACAGCTGGTGGAAGACTTCCGCTGGGAATTAGAAGAAAAAAGGGTAAGATGCAGAAAACCATGCCTGGAGATGGGCCAGGAAGGGCCATCCCTTATGGAAGAGACCTGCAGAACATCATAAAGAATCATCACCTTTCCAAAGCATTTGTAAGCCAGCCTAGAGCCAGGACCACCTCAGCTCAAAGCACAACACTCATTACACAAAACCCAGTGTAAATTAAGAAACAAACCCTGGGACCATTTCCCCTTAAGGAAAATCTTGAAAAAGGGGAGTTCAACAGAAGCCACCTCCAGAACTGTGTTCCCCAACTCACAGTCAGCCTGGAACACACTGCTACAAACAAACTCTATCAAGAGCTTTTCAGCCTGAGACTCAAGCTGCTTGATATTTCACATCAGCATTGCTGCCCTCCTCCCTGCAAGGGCACACACACAAGCCAGGGGCCTCCCTGCACACTTCAAATCCTTCTCAGCCTCCTGCAGGTATCAAAGCCCTCGGTGCTGCTAACCTTTTGGGTTTTCTCCCCCCTAGTGGGGAAGTTTTCTCTGTACTAAAGTTATACATTTTCAATCTCTAACACTGTCACCCCTCGAACTGGAAAATACAAGCTGGAGAATGATGTTTATCTTGAGGTGTCCTGAGGGACAGCATCCTTCTGTCCCCACTGCTGGTCACTGCCACATGTGGCTGCAGATGCCAGACCTTGCCAGCAGTTCAGGTGCACTCAGCTCTGCAGAGCCAGGGCGTGCTCTCTGACAGACAAAAAGAGGCATCCCCAGAGGCAACACGATTTGTAAGCTTGCTAATGAAGATCTGGCTGTGAGAGGTATGAATTTTGATACATTTTAATATTAATTAATAAATATTAATTTGAACTACTTTAACAAGGACCAGCCAGGAAGCACTGGGGCCAGCACGGCCAAAGGCCTGGGATTCAGGCACCATGTGGGAAGACTCTGAGAGCTGCAAATATTATTTCAGGGCTGACTTAACACTGATGATTCTAAACCCAACCCGTATGAATTCAACCTTACAAACCAGAGCTGTGCCCCAGTACTGGGCAGAACTCCT